GGCCGGGACGGGGGGGTGCGCGGGGGCACCGGGGCCGGGGGTCGTTTACTCGCCCGCGTCCGTGCGCGGAGCTGCCCCAGGGGGTGCGATTGTTGTCGCCGTAACGCAGCGAGAGCCCCGCTCTCCCCCCAGCCCCGCGGGACACAGGTGTCAGACTAGCGGCCGAACTTTTGGGGGGGGGGGGGCTTGGGTCTGTCCTGGCGGAGCGCTCTCCTGTTAATGTTTGGCAGGTAGAGGCTGTGTCCCTGTGCCTTGCGCAAGCAGCTCCCGGGAACTTTCCAGGCTTTCTGTCCAGTTCTGCTCAGAGCGTTTGTCGTGATTGATCCTGTTACGTGCCAAACTGGGGGGTCTGCCTGCCTGCCCTGAAGTTTCTGAGCCAAATTGGGGTTTGCCTTCCCGCCACGAAGTTTATGTGCCAAGTTGGAGTGTTTGCCTTCCTGCCCTGAAAGTTCTTTGCTTTCTTGCTCTGCAGTATGAAAACCCCTGGACCATCCCGAATATCCTGTCCATGGCACGGATGGGTCTGGCGCCGGTTTTGGGCTATTTGATTGTTGAGGAGAATTTCGATGTTGCACTCGGTGTCTTTGTTCTGGCTGGTGTGACTGATCTGGTACGTTCGCCTCGGTTTGGAAGTGCTTTGGGGGCAGTCATGGCTTATGGTGATCCCACTGGAACTTAGACTCCAATGTAGAATGGAAAGAGATAAAATACGTGAGGTTTTATATTTGTTGTTCTTTAGGAATGCTATATATGTCCTTTGTGACAGTGCAGAGGGAAGTTACAGGTGTCTAAAGGGGACTTAGTTCTGGTGGAGCAAAGGGGAGATGTCAGGGTTCCCTGACCAGCTCCAGGTGGGCATGGTCCAGTCAGAGCATCTCGGGTCTGTTACTATGTGCAAGTGTACCTGGTGCATCCATCATGACAATAATTGTGTGAATTTTATAATACCACTTACACACACACACACACCCCCGTTTGTGGTTTGGGGTTTTTTTGTTTGGTTGGTTTTGGGGGTTTTGTGTTTGTTTTTGTTTGGTTTGGTTTGTTTGTTTCTTTTTCTAATGAGAATTGAGTATGTTGAGAGGCTTCCAGTATCTGGAATGCAGTGAGGGAAAGAAAGCATGATGCAAGTGTCAGCTAACAGGTACCATATTTCATCATAGTTAAACTAGCTGGTTTATGTGATGCCATTCATTAAATACCTCTCTAACAGTAGCATGTATAAGCTGGTTTTGTTCTTGGTTTTCTAACAGAGAGATGTTAAATTTTGTTTTTCCCAGTTGGATGGATTTATTGCGCGAAACTGGGCGAATCAGAAGTCAGCACTGGGAAGTGCTCTTGATCCTCTGGCTGATAAAATTCTCATCAGCGTGCTCTATGTAAGCCTAACTTGTGCAAATCTAATCCCAGGTGAGAAAATACTGATTGCCTGTACTGTGTAAGGTAAAGATAATTTTATGTGTTGTAATATTTCTATTAAATATTTAACATCCCCCTAACAGACCCCACAGGAAGCATATGCTGGCCCCGTATAAAAACAACTGCCATTTTCAAATGCGCTTTCTTTAAAGCAACAATAGTTAGTAGCTCTGTTAATTTTTTTTTTTAATAGTCTGGATCGTTTTAAGACTTAAACCCCTTCAGAAGTCACGTTAAAAATCTTCGGTCGTGCATAAAACCTGTTCAGAAGAATTTGGGAGGGGTTATTTTTTTTCTCGCTTCATATTGTATGCTCCTTTGGTTCTGTTTTGTTTTTAATCATGGACATGGTTTTTCACTAGATGCTGTTGGCTTGATTTTTCAGTTTCACTTACTTCCATGATTATTCTGCGGGATGTAGCTCTGATTGCTGCTGTTTTTTACGTGCGATACAAAACTCTCTCTCCACCGGTAAGTCCGTTAAACGAAACTGTTTGAACATGTAATCATAATAAAAAGTGAATTAATAAGCCTTTAACAAAGTTGTGACCAAGAGATTTTCATCTTGAGACCTGATGGTTGCTCAGAACTTGGGTGTATACCCTAAGACATAATGCTTGTTCTTCTGTCAGATAGATTTCCAAGCAGAACAAGGTTTCATAAAATATGTGTTACTAAGATGAGTCAGAGCCACTGATAATTTTTTTTTCCTGTTCATGTTGTGTTCATAAATCATATAAAAGAGCAGTGTAATTCTCTAGTGCTACAGTTAACTTTTCTGTATCATGTGAACAGGGGTATCGAATTGAATGTACTAGGACTGCATTTTTTTCCTCTTCTCTCCCCCAACAGAGAACACTCAGTAGGTACTTTAACCCCTGTTATGCTACTGCCCAGTTAAAACCAACATTCATTAGCAAGGTAAGAGTAGTAACTCATTACAAAAGATAACTCCTCAGTACTTGGGGTGTTGTGTAGTTTGGAGGGAGGGGACAGTTTACTACTACTGCTGAGTATAGTTTCAAAACAGGGCACATCTTAATTTGGTCACAATTCCCATTTTGCTTTTTTTCAGACGAATACAGTGGTTCAGCTAATTTTGGTGGCAGCTTCTTTAGCAGCTCCTGTTTTCAATTATGTGGACAGCATATATCTGCAGACGTTATGGTAACTTAGCTTTCTTTGGTTCTTTTCAGATGATTTAATGTGCTTCTAAAGAAACTGGTAATTGAGATTATTCTAATTGTGGGGAACACAAAAAAACTGTGCCCAGGTGATGTAATATGCCTGGATTTTTACACCTTTATTCTTAAATGATGCCGGAGATAGATATTTATTGGTGCTTAATTTACTATGCAAGTAAAAAGTAGTCAAGATCTGGGAATAATAGCTTAGAAACAAGTCTTCAGGTGTACAGAGGCAAAGCCTCTGTACAATAAAAAAGAAAGGAACTGAAAGAAAGGCTGTATGGATTCTTCTCTTATTCATGCCCTAAGTGTCCTTGAAAAAGCAACCTTGATATCAGTAAAAATAGACGTGAAGTGTATTCTTATTTTTGCTTTACTCTGTACCTGCTATCTTGAAATCCAGGTTTCTGAAGCCTCTTTAAAAAGCACATGAAGAAATGGTGATTCCTGCTAGATTGTAGGGAGGAAGGGGAGAGATTGAATGAAAACAGGCATACAGGAGTGTCCCTCCTTAGTTAGTGCTGTTCCTTTCACTACTGTGCTTGGAGATCAGAACTGACCTGAGTCTGAGTTGTAGCTGACTGCAGGTGTCACAAGTGCAGTTATTTTTCCTGAGCAGTTAAGTAAGAGCTCAGAACAAAGAGGCTGAATAGCAGATACCAGAATTACTTAGTTAAAGTAGTGAAAAATCCAGTGTTGCTCGTCTTCTAGGAAAAAAAAAAACAAAAACAACCAAATAAACCAAAACCACAAACCCAAAACAAAAAGCATTTAAGGAACTAGGAACCTTGATCTTAACAGTCAGTGTGGTTTTTCAGTCTGTTGGAAAAACAAATCTAGGGTTGTATGTGTGAAAGATGCTTACCTTGATGCTTGTCTGGGACTCTGGGAGAGTTACCATGTTGTGAATAATGGAGAAGTGCTGTGTGTAATTTGCCAGAGTCCTCTGTAAAAACTTTCCAAAGTGCCCTGTCTGAATTCTGGCCCATGGAGGGTTAACAGAGTGGCAGGACTGTAGCAGTGACTCACACCTCAGTGGGTGGCATCAGCCTTTTACTCAGAGGAGCACTGATAATTTAGGAATATGTATGGTTGTCAACCAGCATCTGGGAAGGAAACAAAACGAGCTGAAGCAGAAACTCATGCTTTAGCTTTGGAACTTGGTAAAATGCTAAGTTCAAGTCTTGTGTGGTTTAAACGCTCGCCTTACAGTCTGCCAAGGAATAGTTTCTCACATCAGTCAGTTTTCATGCTGGTAAAAGTTATGTAGGCTGCAAATGCTGAATGTTTTGTCTTCCCTTCTCTAAAACAAATGCTAATATGGTAAAAAATTGTCTTAGTGTGCAGTTACACTGAAGCATGCAGCTTAGTGCTGGATGGCAGATCCTTTGTTTATCTAATACCCCACTTAGCACTGAATTTCAGCATAGAAACTGTAAACTGTGGAGCTATGTAGTGAAAACAGGAAAGACACTAAAAAGAAAAAAAAAATAACAGTTATTGTATTGTTCATAGACTTACATGACTTACAGGAACTGTTTTCCCCCAAAGGTGCATCACAGCTTTCACAACGGTAACATCTGCCTACAGCTACTACCACTATGGCAGGAAAACAGTCCAGGTGATAAACAACAAATGAAGTTTTTATGGAAGCACAGGGACTTACCAGCATGGGGTGCTGTGCCTCCAAAGATGGTTGTATTGCAGCTGAGTTTTGGATGGAGCACTCTTGTCTGCTTTAAACCATGGCATCACAATGAAATGGAATTTGAATATGTACTGTGTATATATGTAGAGAGAGACTTTTCAATGTATTTTTAATTTCTTTAAAAATGGGGTTGTTTACAAAAATAAATAACATTCTTAAAAACACAGATCACTTGTTGCTGCCATGTGAATAATTCTGAATGATTTTTTACTGTTGTTGAAGTTAAAAAACACACTTTCCACCAGTTTGGTTTTTTTTTTGCTGTCTTCATGCAAGGCACTGAGTAAGCTGAGATCTGAGAAGAAAAAGCAATTACAAGAACAAATTTGTCTTTGTGCCTCATCCTGAGTCAGTAAACCAGCATTGCTCATTAAGACCTAATGACATAACTCAGCTTGCAACAGAGGAAAGGAAAGCACATCATCGAGGAACAGTATCTTCAGAAATTTAAACCAGAGAGAAATCTTACTTCATGTTCCATGGTGATATGGATAAGCCATGAAGAGTTCCTACCCTGCTCCCTTTTTAAATATGAGCAATGGTGAACTGTGCTCAGAGGAGAGTTTAGGTCTCAGAAGGCTCAGCGGGGCAGTGAGGAGTCTGTACCCAAAAGGAATTACATTTTTCATAGTATATATTCATTTCTAGTGATTGAAAGAAGCCCCTGTATCTCCAGATTCTTTAAAGCTCCTAAAGATGCTTTTTAATCTAAATAGCACTGGCAAAAGAGGACATTTAAATACTGTCCAAATGAGACAGTGGAAGAAACCCTTAGATGCACGTAGTGTTAATTCTTGCTGTTCTTCCAGCTTCAGGAGATGCATTGTGATCCCCATCAGGCAGGGAAAACTACTTACAAAACAACAGAGAAGAAAGAACTAGACAGAAGAGATCGTGGTGATCGTAAACTCATGGTTTCTTTTTTCAGACAACATGATTTTTTTCTCCTGTGTCATAAAAAAGAGCGCAACTGTGAAGGGCTTAAATAATTGAAATCAGGAGGTAAATGATACTGCTGTAGTATTGGCAGAAGAAAATTTGCAGTAGGCATCTCTTGAGAGCACACAGCCTCTTTTGTGGTAGCATATGTTTGTATATACAAAACATTTTAATATTTTTTTATATTTAAACATAAAAAGCGGTGTACAGAGAAAACACTTGATCTTTATTAGTACCTTTGTCTTAAATGTTAGTACCTCTCTCCCCGTGTTCTGTGGTCAACACTGCATCGTACAGTGAAGAGATAGAGGGGAAGTTTCCTTAAAATAGAGAGAGTACTTAGGAAAATGGAGCACTTTTTTCTTGAAGAAACGGTTCGAAAAGCAGAAATTTATTGTTCCTCGTCGGGTCAGTGCTGTTTGGTTCTGATTAATGTAATGGGGGTTTGGTTGAGGGGGTGGTTCCTTTCACCTATCGCATGGAATTGCCCGGGGCTGGTCCGTGAGGGTACCAAGTTAAATGTACAGTGGCTCGGTGGTTAAATAAAATTCGTTTGGATGTTCCAGCCGCTGGCGTGTCTGGTGTTCCACGGTTACAATCCGCTTCCCGGGGGCGTGTTCCATCCCCTGTGGAAGCTCGGCGTGGGCGCGGCGCGGCGGGGGCTGTCCCCGCGCGGCCGCCGTACCCGGGCGGGCCCGCCCCGCCCTGCCCGCGATGGCGGCGCCGGAGCCGCCGCCGCCGCCGGAGGGCTCCCGGCCCCTCAGCGCCCTCCTGGGCGGCATCGCTCAAGCCGCCTTCCACGGCAACGCCGCTGTCACCGACGAGCTGCTGCGCGGGCAGCTCTACCCCGAGGCGCCGCCGGAGGAGTTCCGCGCCCTGCGCGCCAAGATGGGCGGCCTCCTCCAGGTACCGGTGCTGAGGCGGGGAAGGGGCCGCGCTCTGGGGGGACCCGCTCCCTCGGCCTCCGGGTGTCCTCGGTGGGGCTCTGGGGGTAGCCGAAGCCGCGGGTGCTGCCTCTGCGGGGACACCGGCCGCCCTCAGCGCGGGGCCGAGCCTGGCCAGCCCCTCCCAGCCTAACCCAGGCCTGCCCAGCCCAGCCCAGCCCAGCCCTGCCCAGCCCAGCCCTGCCCAGCCCTGCCCAGCCCAGCCCAGCCCAGCCCAGCCCAGCCCAGCCCAGCCCAGCCCTGCCCTGCCCAGCCGGGTCTCTCCGGCCGCTCCTCAGGAGCTGTGAAAGGGTAACGGCGACACTCGAGTTCTACAGCCTTGGAAATAAGTACCCGCAGGTTTCTGAGGAGAGCTGCGGATTTCTTACAAGGAAACTGTGTTTTGGCGGAAGCAAGCCGTTTTACACAGACAGCAGATTTTGGTTTATGTGTAAGAGAGGAGAAGATATTCTTCTCTCTTAATGGATCTTATTTTGAGCTCCGTTCGGCGAGGAGAGAGTAGTGTGGTGTAGTGTAGTTCCCGGCGGCTCGATGTGGCTCAGAGAGCCTCCAGGTGCTAAATCCTTGGGTGGCCACTGCCACCTTGTGGGTGAATCCGTGGCTCTTTGGCCTCTTTGGATTTATAAACTCGGTCGGTAGTTTTAAATGTAATTGGCAGATTGGGAATTTGATGAGGATGTTGACACTGGTTTTCTGCTTTTATGGAGGTTCCGTGGTTCATTTAATTATTAGATTCATATGATGCCCTGAAAAGCCTCTAATGAAAGCTGGAAAATAAAAATTGATTCTTGTAGGACTGGAGACTGGTTTTATCTGTGGGCTTGTTTCGTTCCCTCCTCTCAAGGACAACTGTTATTCGAGCACTGTTGAGATGTCATACTCTGGACATAATGTTAATTCAGAAGACACAGGTGATTAAAGTTTTGTGGATATTTACCCATTGTTGTAAAATAGGCATGTAGCTTAGTAGGGTGACTGTGTGTTGGGGAGAGGGTATCGCGTTCCCTGTGTGCTGCTTCAGAAGCAGAACTGGTGGCAGTTGTGTTCCTCGAGGTCACTCACACCTTGCAATGTAAATTAGCATCTCACTGTTACCAGGTGTGTCTCATGGTCTTCATGGCCAGCACTCCTCTCATCTCCTTATGGATGAAATTCCTGGGAAATAACTGAAATTTATGCAGTTCAGCTTTAAAGTTGAAATTTTGTGCTAAGCAGTACACAGACTACTTTGTACAACTCCATGTCAAGGGTGCATGGATTTTGGGGTGCTTATTCCTAGCAGGTAACTTAAGGTAACACCCAAGTCCTGTGGATACTTTTAGCATCTCTGTTCTAGAGCATCCTAAAAAAACCCCAATCTTTTGGCCTTCTGGTCATTTTGAAGGCACCTAAATTAGATGGGATGGATAATGCCTCATGTATGTCTCTTGAGGGTTTTTTTTTTCTGACATCCATCTTCTTGATAGTCAGAAGCAGAGAGGTTCATTACCCTTGTGACTTAATTGCTGTAGTACTTCATGTCTTCTAAGTAGCAAACACAGATCTGTACCATGAATCAACTACTTGCTTTTACTAGAGCTGAGCATAAATAAGGCAAAGGACTTCCCTGTTCCCTTCTGCATTCCACCTGTGCAAAGCATGGCACCTGTGAGAAGTAGGGAGATGAATAAGTGACACTAAAGTGTCAATAAGCATTTAAATGTGGGGGTTTTTTCCCCCTGGATTACGTATAGAATAGTCCTGGTTTTATATTTATAAAATATGTCATTATGATCTACTTTTTACAGATGTTTCCTTTGCTGTCCATAGAGCTGCTGAATGAGCATGAATCATCTGACCTCTTTCTAAAATGCAAGATTTATCTTGTAGTGAAATCATGTTTTTTATTCAATTTACTTTTTTTTTTTAGTCTTATTTCTTGTGTGGAATATCTTGGAAGGTAGAATCTAGGAAGGCTGGCCCTGGAGAACTGTATGACTTCAGTGTTGTTCTGTCAGTTGGGTTTTTTTTGCCCTCTGCCTTCATCCCTCCCAGCCTCCTGTCCTGGAAGGCTGCGGAACGTTGAGAAACTGGGGGAGATCAGCTTTTGCAAATTCTTGCCCCCAGCTTTTTTTAGTTTTTCAAATATTACTTCATCCCGATTAAAACGCTGAATTTGTCTCCTTCTTACATAAGTTTAATTTACAGTATTAGTCCACTGGTAACAGTTACTTTACATGTGGAGTAATCCCACTGTTTTCCTTTTGGTGGCAGTAAGTTATTGCATTTGTTGAATGGGATCATTTGCTGCTGGGTTGAAAGTGTCCCTAGTTCACTCTTCTGCTTCAGAATGAACTGTTCATAGGCTAAATAAGAATAAAAATCTCAGCATGAGAACTATAAATATTTTAGTACATTTGATTTATATTTTTCCCCACAAATACCAAGGATTTTATCATCTGTAATAAATATCTTGGTGTGTGAATGGTAAAATATTAATCAGATTATGTAAATAATATGTGGGAACCAACATATGAGATGCACCCGAGCTCTGTGTATGCACTTCATAACATTCACTTGCTCTCTTCCCTCGATGGTTTTCATTAAGAATCATGCTGGTAGTTCTGTCAGATTGCTGTGATGTTTAATTTCACTGGTTTTCAGCCAGTCTGGGCCCTGCTATGCCATGGCACACACACACTGTATATAAATCCCATCTTGAAGCTATTTCTGGTGATTGCTTTTCTTCATGCCATCAGAGAAAAGCTGTTGAATAAGAAACCTTTTGATCAAAATCCTATCTAAAGGCTTGTGGAAGAAAAATTAGTGTGGCTAGTGGATAAAATCTCTCGGTGTGTAAAATTGTCTGGAGTTGCATGAGCAACTTGTGGGTGCCTTGGAAGCTGCTATGTGCTCTCACCATGTGTTGTCCCTAAAAATTGTCCCTTTCCTGCTAGGGACTGTGGTCCTTTCCCTATGAAGTTGCTGTTGTGACCTTGAGAGGAGTTCCCAAAGCATTGTTTGAGAAGGAAGAGACTATTTGATCTTCATTAAAGGGATCTGCCCTTAAGTGAACAGTCAGAGCAGAAAAACATTGAGGATATTGAGGTGCTGGAGCAGGTCCAGAGAAGAGCAACGAGGCTGGTGAAGGGACTGGAGCACAAGTCCTATGAGGAGAGGCTGAGGGAGCTGGGGTTGTTCAGTCTGGAGAAGAGAAGGCTTAGAGGCGACCTCATCACTCTCTTCAACTACCTGAAGGGAGGTTATAGCCAGGTGGGGGTTGGTCTCTTCTCCCAGGCAACCAACAATAGGACAAGGGGACATGGGCTCAAGCTCTGCCAGGGGAGGTTTAGGTTAGATGTTAGGAAGAAATTCTTTACAGAGA